GCACTGTGGGCCTGGGGTTGGCCTTGATGATTGCAAGGGTTCCTTCCAACTCTGAGAGGCTAAGTTCAGCAAATGCTAGAACTTTCTATTCAGGGACTGCCAATTTTACTATGATATATTCTGAGGAGCAGATTTAGGTAAAAACCAACCAACCAGTGCATGCTTTCACACTATAGGAGAATGTAACTTCATATATTCTTGGTACCTTCCCAGTAGGAATCCGCTGCTAAAGATTTATCCAAGAGAACAACTGGACAAGTGTGCAAAACATGTTAGGAAAGAGCACTATTTATTTATTTATTAATATATTTTATTGATTTTTTACAGAGAGGAAGGGAGAGGAATAGAGAGTTAGAAACATCGATGAGAGAGAAACATCGATCAGCTACTGGGGATGTGCCCGCAACCAAGGTACATGCCCTTGACCGGAATCGAACCTGGGACCTTTCAGTCCACAGGCCAACGCTCTATCCACTGAGCCAAACCGGTTACGGCAAGAGCACTATTTTTAATAGCAGAAAACTTCAAACAACTTACATGTTCATTAAAAAAAACCAGTGACCACTCGGCGGCATGCAGACGTCACTCTTAATTGTCAAGTGAAAGGAAGATGTTTGGAGGGTGGGGGATGTGGGACAGGAAGTGCAGAGAGAGACAGGAACACTGCTCCTTTTTCCTCTCCTCCCTCTGAAGACTGACTCTCCCCACTTTAATATTCATGAGGCCCACAGTGACTGCCTCCGCCTGGACAACACGATCCACGACTGGTTTAATGTTCCAGTCTCAATTCGCAGGAGACTCTTATGGACCAGCTTGGGTCTGATGTCCATTCCCAAGTCAGTCATCTGTGGCTGGAAGATGGAGGTCACATGACACTCACTTGTAGCTATACCCATTCCCTAAGCAGCAGCCGCTGGTGATGGGCACCCTGGAGATGTCTACACTCGTTCATCAGAGTCGTCCAGAATCAACGGGCATCATCTGCATCACCAGGCAGCTGCTGCTGCTTTTTAAAGATTATCTTTTTAAAAATAATTTTATTTGAGAGAGAGAGAGAGAGAAGAGACATTGATTTATTGTTCCACTTATGTATGCATTCATTGGTTGATTATTGTATGTGCCCTGACGAGGGATTGAACCCACAATCTCGGTGTATTGGGGATGATGCTGAGCTACCCGGCCAGGGCCCAGGGGCTTATTCTTGGGCCTTCAGATCTAATGGTAATCACCTTGCTGGGTTTGGGACTCGCTTAGGACCCACAACCCGTGCCTTCCTTCTAATTTCTCCCTTTTAGACTGAAAATGTCTATCCTATGCCTGTCCCATAATTGCATTTTGGAAGCACATAGCTAATCTGTTTCACAGGTTCACAGCTAGAGAGGAATTTTGCTTTAAGATGACTCATACGTAGAGTTTCACATACATTTGACTTAGATGATATGTAGATACTCTGGACTTAAGAGTTGATGCTGGAGAGTTAAGACTTTTGGAGTGTTGGGAATGTGTTTTGCATGTAAGAAGGACATGGTTTTTTGGGGGCTATTCTGTTACAGCAGCCTGAGCAGACTAAGACAGACCACATTTTCCTTGTGGTGTCCTGGGTTTGACTTTGCTTGAAAGCCACTGCTTAATTTCAGTACTGGTTGCCACCTAGAGACTTAAAAATTTCAAAACTACCAAGTTCTGGCTCCTTATTGTTTAAAAAGTCATTTCTCTCCTCACATTTTACTATAAGCAGCAAGAATAAAACAGGCAGCACCTTCAGCTTAGAAATTGCCTTAGTTAGATTACTCAGTTCATTAGAAACACTTTCTCTTTCCACATACAGATGACAGTGTTGCTAAATCTTTTGCCACTATGCAATAAGGGTCCTTTTCCCTCCAGTTCCAATAATGTGTCCCTCACTTCCTTTTGAGCCCTCACTGGCAGCATCCTCAAAGTCCAGATTTCTAAGTTTCTTCAAGATAATTTAGGCTTTTCTAACATACTCCTCAAGATCTTTCCAGTCTCTGTCCATAGCCTGGTTCCAAACCACTCTCACATTTTAGGTAGTTATGACAGCACCCACCTCCAGGAACCAAAAATCTACATTATGTTACCTATGTTATATGACAAATTACCCCAAAACTTCGTGCCTTAAAAGACTTATTTATTCTCTTTGTTGTTGTTGACACTATTACAGATGTCCCCATCCCTCCCTTTGCCCCTCTCCACCCAGCCCTTGGCCCCCTTCCAAACCGTTGTCTGTGTCCTTGGGTTATGCATATATATCCTTTGGCTAATCCCTTCACCTTCTTTCATCCAAGAAGAAAGAGAGAGAGACACATCTATCTCTATATATAAAAGGCTAATATGCAAAGTGTCCCCTTGGGAGTTCAACTGCTCGCTATGAAATGTGCTGACCACCAGGGGTGGCGTGGAATGAAGGAAGGCTCCAGTCGGAAGGCCCCAGGCCTAGGGAGCCTACCCATGCACAAATCATCGACCGATGCCTCCTGCATGCCCCCTACTGGGGATGGAGCTTGCAACCTGGGCATATGCCTTGAGTGGGAATCTAACCAGTGACCTCTTTTCCTGGGTTGACACACAACCACTGAGCCACACCCACCTGGGCTCCAATAGTCTCTCTCTCTTTTTTTTTTTTTTACATAACATTGGAACTTTTTATTCTCTAATTAAAATTCAAGTTGCTAAAAGTGGATACAGTAGACAGTTGGACAGCCAATTTGGCAGAAGCTTCATTTGAAAAAAAAAAACACAATTTCTTTACATGACTGCTTTGGATCTCTTCTCTCAGCCTTTCTCAGTGCATAAAGTGAAACTTTACCTCATCCAATAGCCTCTTTTTAAAAAAATATATTTTATTGATTTTTTACAGAGAGGAAGGGAGAGGGATAGAGAGCCAGAAACATCGATGAGAGAGAAACATCGATGAGAGAGAAACATCGATCAGCTGCCTCCTGCACGCCCCCCACTGGGGATGTGCCAGCAACTAAGGTACATGCCCTTGACCGGAATCGAACCTGGGACCCTTTAGTTCGCAGGCCGACACTCTATCCACTGAGCCAAACCGGTTCTGGCCAATAGCCTCTTTTTTAAAAAAATATATTTTTATTGATTTCAGAGAGGAAAGGAGAGGGGGGAGAGAGAGAGAGAGAGAGAGAGAGAGAGAGAGAAACATCAATGATGAGAGAATCATTGATCGGCTGCCTCCTGCATGCTGCCCCCTGGGGATTAAACCTGCAACCTGGGCATGTGCCCCTGACCAGAATCAAACCCGGGACCTTTCAGTCTGCAGGCAGACACTCTATCCACTGAGCCAAACCAGCCAGGGCTCCAATAGCCTCTTAATAGCTCTCCTTGTCTTCATTCCTGCTTGCCAATATTTCATTCTGCATACAGCAGAGTGATCTTTTAAAACATAAACATGAACACATCACTCTTTACTTTAAACTCTTCCAATGGCTTAGAATAAAATCCAAAATCCTTACCATGACTCCTAAGGATACATATGATACAGCCCATCCACCTCTCCAATCTCATCTTTTATCACTCTCTCCTTCTGTTCTGTCTCCAGCTACACTGACCTTCTTGCTGCGCCTTGAACACATTTAGCTGACTTCCACCTTAAGACTTTTGCACTTGCTGTTCCACGTGCCCAGAAATCTCCTTGTAGCTCCAATAGACAGCGCCTTCCAGTTCTTCAGAGCTCTCAGCTTCACTGTTACCTCCGGAGAGACCTTCCCTGATCATCTAAGAGGAAAGAGTCCCCACATCCAGCTATTATCTAACCTCAGTATCCTGTTCACTTTCTTCTTAGCGCCTCAAACTCTGTGTTTTTCCCTGTTTATTTTCCGCTTTCTTTCCCTAGTGTTTCCCCAGTGTCCTTAGGCCTGGCACAGCGTGGTGTTCAGGAAATCAGTGAGTGAATGAAGAACCACCAAGAGGAAAAGCTCCTGCAAAGCCCTTTGATAGGTGGCGGGCATAAGGGAAGGAGCACAGCCTGGAGCACGTCTCAGCCGTGCGCCAGCCCGGCTCTGAGCTGTTACCTAAGCTGCAAACGGGGTTAAGAACCTACCCGGTTTGGTCCCAGCGGCGAATGCCCACTCGGTAAAGTAAAAGGAGCTTCCCGACAAGTAACGCTCCGTAGGCACAACTATGGCAGCGATTACTCTGCACATCCTGTTCTCTTACCGCGGGGCCCTTTCGGGGCTTCAGTGTCCTCTTCTCCACCGCGAGGCGACATCCCCGAGTCCTTCCCGCACGAGGTTTCCAGCGACTTCAATCTCC